GGTGCCGGTTGCTCGGCCTTGCCGGCCCAGGCGGGAAAACCGTCGGGATGCGCCGTTGCGGTCAGAGGAGCCCGGTCACGGCCCCGCGTCAGCGCCCGGCCCTTCCCTCCCGCCTCCGGAGGGTCCCTGTGACAGCAGCGCGGCCTCGCCGCTGCTTTCGGCCTTTCACCCGCGACACAGCCCCTGCCCTGAGCACCTGCAGCCGGGAGGGTGCGGGATGCTGCCGTCTGCATGAAACCACATTTTCTATCCCAAACCTTCTCTCCTGAGCTGGCGGCAGTTCGACAGTTCCTGACCCAAACCCCAGGGAGATGAACGACCCCCAGAGCAGCACCTCCTAATCCCCCTGCAAAACCTCCAAAGATGCCTCCAAGTCCTCCCCACCCTTCAAAAGACACCGGAGCAGCACAGTGAGACAAACAAAACCTTTATTGGTTTATTTTCCCATTATGGTCAATGGGCGACAAGAGAAAAATCCGAGTCACGGCTCTGGCGGGTGGAACCCGTCAGTCAACAGCAACACTTCACGGTCAGGACCCACGAGATGATGACACCGATTTATGTTACTTGACTTCCACAGAATGAATCCAAAATAAATCAATTAAAAAAAAAAACACACACAAAGATTCAAAGTGATAAATAACACAGGTTTGCTTAATGGATTTTGTTTTCCCCTCAGTTTTATTTACAACATGGAGCTTTTCCAAACTAGATCATCTCTTACAATAAAATATATTTATTTCAGCATCTCCAAAACAAAAATAATTCCTGTATTTCTAAATGTAGCGCACTGGGAGAAAATAAAATAATAATTAAAAAAATAAATGGGCCAGCACCTTATTTATTACCCTTTTACACCCCTTCGGGATTCCTATGCACTTCCTTTTAGGAAACTTTTGGAAGGGGCCCACGGGAGACTGGGGGAGCTCTTTTAAGGCACCAAAAATGAGGAAAACACGCAGCCCCCATCCTGGGTGGCTGGGAAGGGGGGTTGCTGCTCACTAAAGCATCGCAGGTCACTGCAAGGACAGTTTGGGTTTGAGCCCTAAAGCAGCGCCAGGTGCAGCTTTGCCAGGAGGTTTCCCCCAACAGAATTTTCCTCTGCACAGGGAAATCCTAAATCCTCCCCAAATAAGGAGGCAGCCGGGGGGGTCCTGGTGGGTGAAGGGGGCAGCCATAGCGCTGGGTCTCCCCACCAGCCCCAGGGGTTACAAACACCTTTTAGATGGCCCGCAGGCACGGTACTGAGCAAGACCTCAGCTTGCCTTTAATTTTTTAAATAAATAAACAGAAATGCTGGCCCCGTAAATAGCCAAAACAAAGCTTCAAAAGGAGAAGACAGCCGTGCCAGGGCACGCGGGGGCAGCCTGGCTTGCTGACAAGGCAGCTGCCAACATTCTGCAGCTCCCCGAGGACACAGCCCATGCTTCATTCATTTAACCTAGCCCCATTTTCCTTCCAGGGTGGGTTTCCTTCTTTCTTTCTAAATTGCAGAGATGCCAGGCACGTGCTGAAAACAATCCCAGTCCTGGGCCCTGGAGTCCAGCCCAGCTCTCTCCTCTCACACAGAGGAAAATAAAAAGGAAAATAAAAAAAAACTTGTCCTGTATGAGAAGGCAAATAATTGCATTTTAGGGGCAGGGCAGCAATAGGACTGGAACCACAGCCACCCCGCTCCACACCCATTGCGGTTCACTGACTTAATGCTTATACCTCCACAGGAATTAAAGTTTATTTTCAATGGGGAGATGGGGGCTCTCCTCCACTGGACATTTTCTCTCTGGGGAGGAGGAGATGGCGCATTGTAGCGGCAAGCACAGGCCCATGCTCAGGGCCAGGCACAGGAAGGCAGCGTGGACGGGACGTACGGGGGCATCACAGAGGAACAGCACCAAGAAAACCCAGGCTTGGCACCTTTTCTTTCCTCCAAGCCTTTGTTTTTGCCTCCCCTCATTTTTGAAGAGCTAAACCAGTTTCCTCCCCCTCTGACAGTCCCTGTCACACTGGCAACAGTCCGACTACAGTTTGCAAAACCCAATCCTGTAAAAGCCGTTTGATTTTGGCCCCACTCACTGCTGTGCTGCTTTCATCCTTACACAGCAAGCTTACATTTTCTTTTCCCCACCTGTCTGCAAGGAACAACAACTTGCCATTGCCATGTGGGGTTGGTCTGATGCCCGAAAGGGCTCCCACAGCGCTGGGAGAAGCCGATGGCAGGTTCATGCACCAGTCCCAGCTGGGCACTGGGCACCAGTTGCAGATACCAGGAGCCTGGAGCCCGTGCTGATCCCCCAGCGAGGTGGGGGGACTGCATGGGGACCTTTTCTCCTGGGCTGTCCTCTCCTCCCAGGCTCCATGGCCGCCCGACTCAACAGCATGTGCCTGGGGTGACACCACAGCCCAACGACCCCCCCAGAATGTGAAGAGAGAGCAAGAACCATCTCTGCTTAACAGCTTTTTCCTGCAAAGCGGCAGAGGAAGAGAGAAGGAAAAGGCATCTTCCTCCTTTAACTCCCGACTCGTCCCACCCTGTGAGAGAAGAGACTTTATACAAGGACAGGGGTGAAGAAAAAACTATGCAGAGTCCTAGGGAAGTAAAAGGAAGGGAAGTGGAGGAACAACAGAGGGGGCAGCCCAGGGGCACTGAGCCCCAGGTCTCACCAGGCCTCCCCCATGACCATACAGTGTATTCAAAGTATTTGATTTTAAGTGCTCCCTTAACATTCAGTTTACAACCAGGGGACAAGGAGGTGGCATTTCTGCAGCTTGCAGCTTCCAGGCTGATTGCAGAGCCAAAGGAAAAAGAAAAAAAAAAAAAAAAAAAAAAAGGTAAAACTGGAGCGCAGGGAGCAAATACTTTTCCTTTGCCTGAGCCCAACTGCTCTACGTTGCCCCACCACGAGGGGTGTCCATCTCATACCAGTAAGAGACAGAAGAGTAAATTAAACCAGGACCACAAACCAGCCCAAAAACCTGGTTTTGATGAAGAAGAAGAAAGTGGAAAATACGTCAAATATAACAGAAAATGATTTTGTACATTCAGAGTTTGTATTTGGAAAAAAAAAAAAAGAGAAAGGAGAGGAGGAATTAGATATTAAAAAAATAGCACTGGATGATGAAGCGGTAGCAGTTCCTCTACCACTACGAAACTGCAACAACAGACGCACGTACACACAGAGGCTTCACAACACCGAACTCCCACTGACTGTGATGTGCACCTCAGTTTGCTGGTCTAGAGATACTGAATGCCTGAAGCACACCAAGGATAACTGAGAACATCTGCATGGCTTTAATGGGAATCCTCCAACTGAAAAAAAGTCGTTTCTCCCGGTGTCTGTGTTGGCACATCCCTGAGTCACATTCTCACTCCTATCCTCCAGAGTCAAGATGCCTAAACATGAAAAGCGGAGGGAAAAAAAGAGAAACAGAGGGAAAGCACCATCAGTGGAAGACCTGCCGGCTGCTGCTGATTCAGCCCCGGGCATGGGAGAGGAGCTGCTCCGCATGCCACGGTCCTCGCTGCCTGTTCCCAGGGACGGGCCGTTTGCGCAGCCAAAGCACGGGAAAACCGCAGGCATGCGCCGTCACTCACAGAGGAGCACGGTCACGTTCACATGCAATCCTTCACCTCTTTCCTCCCCACATTCAGAGTGTTTCTGTGTTCATAGTGAGAGCCTTCCATACGGTTGTTTTCGACATTTCATCCGAGATATTAATTTCAGAAGGATCAGTCCTGCAATAAATATTTCACAGAGTAACCCGTGAGGACGGGAACTGATGCCACCAAGCACAGCAGCATGAGGCACAGGGGGCGTGGAGAACCAAAGCTGAGTGTAAGCACGGGAGGTTGTGCTGGCTGAGGAATTTTGGGAGGCAAACCTGAGCGCTGTAGAGCAACAGCTTTTGCTGGTGTTTGGCCCTGCAGTGGGCTCCTAAGCCACCGCCGGTACGGATCGTGCCTGCAACTCCTCACTGTTAAGCGTGAGGATCTCCACCCATCATCAGGTCACTGATGAGGCCAGTTTGGGTGTCAAATGTGACTTGGGCAGCCACTCTGCTTGGGGCAGAGCCCTTTGATCACCTCCTGCAGCCCTGCCCCTAAATTGCCATTTCCCACCAAGCTGACTGCTGCTTTCTATGGGATGCTCCATAAAGGCCCAAGGGGAGAAATCTCTGCCAAACCCCCTCAAACTAATTTTGCCGTGGGTCCTGGCACTGGGTGGGGCTTCACCTGTCACTGCTCTGCTTTGGGGTATCCGAGTTGCTGGTCTTCCCCAGTTTCAGCTGAACTGAATTTGCAGCAGCAGCTTCCATCATCTTCTGGGACTCCTGATGGGAAAGGGACAAATCAAGTTCTCTCTCATTGATCTGAGCAGAGGTAAACTAAACATCCAGCAAAAACATTGCCTGCTGCCCTCTCCTTCTGACCCTTGGCAGCTTTGCTATGAGTGCAGCAAGGTAAAGACCTCCAAACACTGCAGGGAGGGGGTTAAACAATCCACTGTGGGCAAAGCTTTCCCTAAGAATTGTTTTCAACCATCATCATTGTTCTAAATGACTCATTTTAAAGATTATACCTCTGCTCAAGGGTTAAGCTCTCTCCTAGTACAGGAAAAAGGGTTGCAGTGTGGGATCCAGGCTATTGGGATTTCTCCTGAGTCCTGACCTTCCCCCAACATTTCAAGACAAGCTGTGATAGAAACAGGCGATCTCACAGCCCGAGGGTGATGTCCAGCCCCAAGCACCCAGCAAGCCTTACCTCTTCTTCTTTGGCTTCATTTTTGGCATCATCCAACTTCTTCTTCTTGCTTTCTGGCATAAGGTCATCCAGAAAGCTGAGCTCCCGCTTCGAGAAGCAGAAATCCAACACTTTCCGGACAAAAACGAGAGCCAAAACCTTCACAGATAAGAGGGAAGATGCGGTGAGGCCAGAGCTGAGGCTCCATCTCCCTCCAGCGCTGCAAACATCCCGCTGCCCAGCGGCACCGGCTCTTACCATCATGGGGAAGATGATGGCGGCACGGGACACCTTGATGGCCCAGAGCAGGACGAGGCAGATCAGCTGGATCACGGTGAAGAGATGCACCTTTCGCAAGGGGACGTGCCGCAGGTAGATGAAATCCGGCTGGTGTTTCGCCGGCATCCAGAACAGCTTCAGGCGGTCAAAGAACTGCAAAATAAAAGTGAGAAGTGGCCACCTTGGGACTGCAGGAAGTTTCTGTCCCTGTTGAGACGTGGGGGGAGTTTTCAGGACCTCGCATGCAATGAGAAATCCTGGATCCCACTGTGCTCCTCCTGGGAGCAGCCCCCACTTTCCCTTCACTCCAGCTATAAACCCGCTTCCCATGAGGGCTGCCCACCAAACTGCCATTATTCCACGTTGGTCTATTAACAGCCTTTCGTGGCCCACGGAATCCCGACCCCCAGCAAGGATTTCCACCAGTGGGAGAAACTGCCTTTCCTTGGCCCTGAATTCCCCCATTTTCACGAGGTGGAACACCAGGGAGCCGACACGCTGCACGAGAGTCCGTACCTGAATGCCTCTGAGCGACGACACGCCCATGTAGAGAAAGACGCCGTAAAGCACCGGCATTGGTATAAACTGAAACCAGAGAACACAATATTTGGGGGTTAAATGGCATTTTCAGAATTACCCCTCTCTTCTACAGGCGCTGCCTAAAATTGCCTCAAGCTTTCCACTTCCCACAGGGTTACAGGTGTGTCGGGTTCTCCCCCTCAGAGACTCTGCGTGCGAGTGAGCTCATGCTCTGCTTTAGGCTGAACCTTGGTGTTCCCTTCCATCAGAATAATCCTCTTTTCTGGCAAGTTTCGAGGAAAAGAGGGGATTTCACCCGTGCTAACCTATGCCATGTTCTGTTTCTACATAGTCTTGGGGCAACGTGCAAAAGCAACGTGCCTGCTTTCAGCCTGGAGAGGAGATCCCTTTGTGTGAGGAACCCCCTGGGGACGATGTGTTCAGCTACTGGGAACGGCAGTTCTGGGGCACTGGGGGCAGCAAACTGCAACCAGTGAAGTGCTGCCTGTTCGAAAGAGAGCGGACGTCCTGCTCTGAATACACTCAGCTGCAACCCACAAACACGGGTGGGCCTGAAAGTTAAAGCCGCTGCGTTGCTCGCTTGCCTCGAGCTCAGCAAACGGGGCTCTGAAGGGCTGGAAAGCCTGACCGAGGCTGGTTCCCCCCGCGGGTCAAGCCCCAAGGTGTGGGATCCCCTCCTCCTCCGCTCCACAACCGCTCAGCCCTGCGGAGAGGGGACTACTTGTGCATAACCCCCAAAAAGCCCGCGGTCGTTGGGTGTTCTGCGATTTCCTCTCACCTTTAGCAGAGAAGTGAAGAAGACGGAGCAGCCCATGAGCACAAAGATCATCAAGCCCGTGACCCTCTGCTCTCGGATCCCCAGAAACTTGGGTTGTTCTCCTGGAGCTGAGCACTCGGACTCTACTTTGAGGCTGTTCACGTGGGTGATGGACAGGATGGTCGAAGCCACAAACCAGGGCAGCCCCATCACGGAGCAGACCCCGAACATCACGGCCAAGATGAAAAGGTCCAGGTGGTACCCGCATCCTTTCTGCAGGGAGCAAAACAAGAGATAAAGCATCCCGCGGCACAAGAGCAAGGACAACGTCACAAGTCAGGCTCAAACCCTACTTGAGCACAAGCCAACTTCTTGA